AGCAGGATTCAAAAATGGATCGATTTAAACGTGCTCTCCAAAAGTATTAAATCGGTCTTCGTTATAAGAAGAATTATGTGGAAACCGATAAGGAGATACAACTAACTACTTTACCTTCGTTTAGATTCTTTATCATTACGTAGATTTTGACTCTACCACGAATTGATAATGAACTTTGGGGGGGGGGGGGGGGGGGNTCACCCAAGAACCGCACGTTCGTTGGTTAGGTCATTGAAAAGTGGTTAGTTCGATGCAGAATGCTACATACTCCCATTTAATGTTGTCTGTATCAGACACTGTGTTGTAGCTTCTCGTGTTTTGGATGTTTGATTACGTAGGTTTTCTTTTACTCTCCACATGTTGAATGAATTTCGTATGTGATAGAATCAGACCACTTTAGAATCAGCGCAAGTCTGTCCCTGATATTAAAGTGTACTGACTCGCTTCACGCCATCTGGTAACCTATGTCGGTTATGTACCCCAGAATAAAAACACGTTAGGGTACGGGGCATGACATCGTTCAGAAGTCAACCATGTGAATAAAATGATTTTGAAGTCAGAGAAGCTTACACAACACAGTGCCACTCGTACTCAGTCCGGTTGATTCTGTGGTGGAGAAAATCTAGGATTGTTGTGGTACTGAAAGTGTTTTGTCAAGGGAAAACTAATTGCACCACTTGTTTGTGAGGAGGAAGAAGTGTACTAATTTTTTGTGGATAAATGATTTGGCTCGAGGATTTTTCCATGACCTAGAGAGCGTTTAGAAATAGATTTAATAAAACTGTACTGTATTGGTTGACCATCTGGAAAGATACCAATAGGATTGTAATGATGCAAACGGTCAATCAAAACCCTCGAACAGAACTATATTAGCGCTGTCAAACTGAGAGCCGTCGCTTCTCCGAAGTTGCACTGATGATGTTGCCTAGCCTGGCTGGCTACGAAACGTCTGCGATCACCACTTCCAGCTCGGAGAACACACCATCACCAACACCCACATACCGAGCTACAATCGTTTCACATTATTTCCAGATATCTTATTATCGGTTAATGCATTGGAATGAATTGAAATC